ACAAAAAAAATTAGGCGAATGTGATTGCAATAAGAAAGGATCAGACCTGATGAGTGAGATAGTGATCTGGATGGTTGACCAAAAAGAAATGTTCCACTAGCTCACTAACTGATTCATCAGGATCAGGTGGTACATTTCTGACAAGTACCTGCACAGATGTAAAGGACAAAGTTTACTGTGACAAGTTTTTCTTCTATATTTATGAAGGTGATGAAGGTGATGAAGGTACAATGGATTGTTACTTGAAAGAAGAACAGCCCTTTTGATGTAAAAAGGTAGGAGATATCTGGACTTTAATAATCTTAGGATATAAATCCTTATTACAGAAACAGTGGTTCTACGAGTATGAACTTATCGTCTTGTTCAGATATAAAACTTATTCTTACTGTGAATTGGTCTGGACGACGTCTTTCTGATGCTAGAAAATGCAATCTCATTGTTGCAACTATTTGATACTCCCTTTTCAAGATATAGCATGTCCAGAAGGTAAAAGCATAAGCCATTACCAAATGAGTCCAGAATCTGCAATTCATGTAAAAAGCATTGGAAGATAGTCATGCTTGTTCGAAAAAATAGGCAGTTACTTCAAAAGAGATTAAGGTTCTGGAAGGAGTTATTAATTTGTTTCAACTTGATTTAGAGGATTTGCATGGACTACCTCAGAGATGTATATACTAATTCACCCAATCTACAACAGGGACAAAAATGAATGTATGCGACATACTAATACTAATGTGCAATTCTTTAAATTAACAGACATATATCATTAGAAAGTTCATATTAGATGAAATAGAATGTAAAAGGCAAAAGAAAAGTAAAAATTAAAGCAAACAATCCAACCGGGTGAAAAGTGTGGATACCTATTTGATCCGGTTGGAATATTTGAAATTGAAAGCTTATCTATCTGACTATAAGTCAAATTGGACCGCTCCAAGGTGCTATTCGTCCAGTTGACAGGAACCATAACAGAAAACGCTAGGAATGCAATGGGTACAAATATTTTCAGCCTGCATTTCAATAAGGTAAGAAGACACAGTAAAAAATCAAGAGACATAAGTAATGTTGGAGTTAAAAACTGGGGAAGTTCTGAAAAAAAAAAAACTACCGTTGGAAATGAAGGAAAAACCAGATGAGAAAGCATGAAAACAATGAATGGTTGAAATCCACAAATGCCACAAAGAATGATTGATCAGAGCATACCCAAGTAAGTAGATCCTCAAGTAAACAGCAGAGTCCAAGCCTGCATGGTCAATTAGTTCAGGTTCTGGCATTTGCAATGCTGCAGGCATCCAGCTCAGGAACCTTATATATGACTTGAAGTCCAAATTGACAAACTTGCTCACAAATAACCCTGCTTGCAATGGACTGCTCCTTAAACCCTTCAAATACCATTTTGGAAAATACACCCTATCGTTTATAGGCTGAATTCGAAGTACAGCAAAAGCCAACAAGAAAGTAAATGCACTCAGGATGTTAATTGCTGCGGCGAGTCCTATATCACTCAAAGAAGCCATGAGCATATGGCAACTTAGAAAAACGAAGCTACTCCCTGTAAATTATACAAATAAGCATGATGTCAAAACCAACACATTTCTTTATAAGCTTCGAACTTAAAAGTACAACCTTATTTTGCAGCAGTGATTGGTGGAAGACAAAGACACAAAGATTTAACATCTGATTTGAAATAAGAACTGATGTAAAACTGATTTTCCCGTGATGATATGGACAAAAAACAGAATTATAATGTTAAAAGAAATTTGTGAAGTGGGAGAGGCTGAAAAGTCACAGTCAAACTGAGTTTTCTCTTCCCCCAAAATTTCACCCAAAGTCATAATCAAGTGAGGAAGTAAGTACTAATCAATCCTTCTACCCAGTATCTCTCGCTGGTCAAACTATAATCCACTTCTAAACAAAATAATGTTTTCTGTTAGGCATAACCGATCATGATTCTGAATTCCCATTTTCCATGCAAAACCAAAAATTAAAGCCAAAACTTTATGACATCTGTGTTCTTCTAGCCATCTTAGCCACCAATCAACAGAAAACACATAATTCAACACCCAGAAAAATTCAGCATTAGAAACCATAGCAACTAAAGAACAATGAACAAAAATGGCTTTGAATATTATTATCACACAATAGATCCACGCCGTTGGGGTACATTACCTTGTCTGCCACAACAAATTGTCCGAACAGAAAGAGAAAGAAAGGAGAAAACGAGGTGAAACAAAACGGCGAAGAGTAGTTTTTCAACACAATTGAGATTATTATCACACTGCCACTGTTAGTTCAACCGACCACAGGGAGAAAACCCAAAAGCCAGAAAGTCAGCAATAAGCAAAAGTTACAAACTTTATGGCATTTCTTTTCAAAGGGGTGCGTTAAGGATTTATAATTTGTAGCGGCACGTCTTAGTCAGGTGAGGTAAGATTTGTGCCTACTCATCATATACACCATGTCGACCATTCACTGTATACAATAAATCCTGCATGTAAAATAATGAAAAACAATTGAAAACAAAAACTTTATCTACAAGAAAATTGGATTGATAAAACAGTAAAGCAAATTTGGATAATTTCATGAAAATATGGTGATAAAACAGTGAATCTCTTGCAATCAGTTTTGTGATTTTACGTTTTATAGTATGATCTTCTGATGGTAACAAATATTAAGAAATTAAAATAAAACAATTAGGATTTTCAATTGATAATTGAATTGTGTTTGGTTGGCCGCACATGGCACGAGGTGGTGGGGTCGGAGAGAGAGTGTAATAGGAAGAAAGGAGATACTGTCTTTGACGTTTCCTTTCTTTTCCTAACGGCTACTATCTTTTTTTTTTTTTGTAATTGTTAATTCACTGTAACAGTTTTAAAAGCCATGGCCAGCCAAACAGAGATTTTTTAAAAGAAAAAACTGAGAGTTTGATACTCTACAGTTAGATAATTAAAAGTTAGCTTATTTAGTCTTAAATAGTGGGTTTGAATTCAAATCTCGTTATTAATTGTTTTAAATATTTATAAAGAAAGTCTTGTGATTCATATTAACTTTATTTAACTCTGATGATTGTCTTCCATAAAATATACATATAGTTCATCGTAAAAAAAAAAGTTTATCTTTTTAAGAAAAGGGTATGATTCCTTAAATGTTGATGGTGCTGTTTTTCAGTTAATTTTATGAAAGAATAATGGTTGGATGACAAATTTTTACTTTCGTTTGACACAATATAAAAATAAAATAATTATAAAAAATGAATTTATATATTCTTTTAAAAAGAAAAAAGTAAAAAAAAATAATGTTAAATAAATATAAAAATTTTATGTATAATTTTTCTTCATGAAAGGAAAGTAAATAAAAAAACAGACACGTAAAGTTGCATATTAAAAGTTATACTGAACATTATTTTTTATTTAGTTGAAGATGTGTGTAAACTCATATAATAATATACATAAAATTTTATATTGATCACTCTGTGTACGTGTATTACTATTAATGCAAGTTATATACGTAACTTCGACTATGTTATTTTAATTTAAATTGTGACGTCTTTTTTATATTTTTTCAACTGTTGTATTATTGAGACTTATTAACTCAGTGAAGAATTTTGATTTTACAGTGACATATCCCTCGATTTTCGTTGGTACAAGCTTTAACGTTTGCAATAAACACGGGCCCACATGATGAATGTTGAAAGCAGTTATTGAGATAAGTTTTAAGTTTTCAATAAATGTTTATGTTTCCATTGACAAGTGTCTATTAAACAGTGCAGGGTGCGTGACCATAGAGATTTTATTTTAAATTGAATCATCTAGTTCGACATACAACACTATGATGTTAAAATGAGTTTTAATTGTATTTCCTATTTTAAATCTTATCTTTTTAATCATTTATGGACACACAATAATGAAAACGTGTTTTCTAGAAAAAAATATCATAGCAAATTGATAAGTCTGAGATTTTAAATAGATGATTAACTGTAAAAGATTAATATAACCGCAACATGAAAAAAGAAAAAACGACTTGTCGTAAAAATTTGTCTAGTATAAAATATTTATTTATTTTTACGTCATATTTAAGTCAAACAATAAAATTTTCAATTACGTCTAGAGATAAATAATTAATTAAAAACTTATGAATACATAAGAACAAGTTTTAATAATAACGTCATAAAAATAATTTAATATGTGTAAGCATGTTTTCAACTTAAATATATTTCTTAGTTATGAAAAATTAATTTATCGGAATTGAATAAACTCCTGTTCAAATATTGATATTTAACAACCACATATAATATTTTGCACCAAATTAATTAATAATAAATATTGTATGGCAAACATCAGAAAACCATAATCGAATAAATAATAATATCTTTATAAATAACAAAATGTAACTTAATTTTTTTAGATATATTGTAATAATTATAATCAATTAAGGTTTAAGTCTATGCCGATAAAATAAATTAAATCCATTTGTGAATTTTTAATTGAATTCTTATTGATATTTTTTATTTATTAAATACTTGAATTTTAAATTTTTTTTAATTAAGTTCTTGTTGTATAATTTTTTATTAGTTAGATGATGCGACTATTATTTTATGTCTCCTAATCTTACTTTATTATTTGTATGTGTTAATCAATATAAGACACTAAACATATCAGTTAAGAAACTAATCAATCATTTTTTTTTTNGATCATGCTACAGTTGACATAGGACCACCTCAAAGTTTCTAGTCCAATATATAATCTATAGCTATCAGAAACAAACAGAAGAGGAAGTTGTCAAATATACTACGAAAAACTATATTACACTAAAATTTACCCCAACTAAGAAATATGTACTTCATGGCTCCTAAGATTATAACTAATATCTAATCCTAAACAAATTAGGAAATAACTATCCATTTGAACGCAACAAAAATTAATATGAGGATACCAGTTATAAATGTTGTTAATCTGATACACTCAAATAACAAAAATCATATTACAAGATTTGAAACAACAACAAAAAAAATTAGGCGAATGTGATTGCAATAAGAAAGGATCAGACCTGATGAGTGAGATAGTGATCTGGATGGTTGACCAAAAAGAAATGTTCCACTAGCTCACTAACTGATTCATCAGGATCAGGTGGTACATTTCTGACAAGTACCTGCACAGATGTAAAGGACAAAGTTTACTGTGACAAGTTTTTCTTCTATATTTATGAAGGTGATGAAGGTGATGAAGGTACAATGGATTGTTACTTGAAAGAAGAACAGCCCTTTTGATGTAAAAAGGTAGGAGATATCTGGACTTTAATAATCTTAGGATATAAATCCTTATTACAGAAACAGTGGTTCTACGAGTATGAACTTAACGTCTTGTTCAGATATAAAACTTATTCTTACAGTGAATTGGTCTGGACGACGTCTTTCTGATGCTAGAAAATGCAATCTCATTGTTGCAACTATTTGATACTCCCTTTTCAAGATATAGCATGTCCAGAAGGTAAAAGCATAAGCCATTACCAAATGAGTCCAGAATCTGCAATTCATGTAAAAAGCATTGGAAGATAGTCATGCTTGTTCGAAAAAATAGGCAGTTACTTCAAAAGAGATTAAGGTTCTGGAAGGAGTTATTAATTTGTTTCAACTTGATTTAGAGGATTTGCATGGACTACCTCAGAGATGTATATACTAATTCACCCAATCTACAACAGGGACAAAAATGAATGTATGCGACATACTAATACTAATGTGCAATTCTTTAAATTAACAGACATATATCATTAGAAAGTTCATATTAGATGAAATAGAATGTAAAAGGCAAAAGAAAAGTAAAAATTAAAGCAAACAATCCAACCGGGTGAAAAGTGTGGATACCTATTTGATCCGGTTGGAATATTTGAAATTGAAAGCTTATCTATCTGACTATAAGTCAAATTGGACCGCTCCAAGGTGCTATTCGTCCAGTTGACAGGAACCATAACAGAAAACGCTAGGAATGCAATGGGTACAAATATTTTCAGCCTGCATTTCAATAAGGTAAGAAGACACAGTAAAAAATCAAGAGACATAAGTAATGTTGGAGTTAAAAACTGGGGAAGTTCTGAAAAAAAAAAAACTACCGTTGGAAATGAAGGAAAAACCAGATGAGAAAGCATGAAAACAATGAATGGTTGAAATCCACAAATGCCACAAAGAATGATTGATCAGAGCATACCCAAGTAAGTAGATCCTCAAGTAAACAGCAGAGTCCAAGCCTGCATGGTCAATTAGTTCAGGTTCTGGCATTTGCAATGCTGCAGGCATCCAGCTCAGGAACCTTATATATGACTTGAAGTCCAAATTGACAAACTTGCTCACAAATAACCCTGCTTGCAATGGACTGCTCCTTAAACCCTTCAAATACCATTTTGGAAAATACACCCTATCGTTTATAGGCTGAATTCGAAGTACAGCAAAAGCCAACAAGAAAGTAAATGCACTCAGGATGTTAATTGCTGCGGCGAGTCCTATATCACTCAAAGAAGCCATGAGCATATGGCAACTTAGAAAAACGAAGCTACTCCCTGTAAATTATACAAATAAGCATGATGTCAAAACCAACACATTTCTTTATAAGCTTCGAACTTAAAAGTACAACCTTATTTTGCAGCAGTGATTGGTGGAAGACAAAGACACAAAGATTTAACATCTGATTTGAAATAAGAACTGATGTAAAACTGATTTTCCCGTGATGATATGGACAAAAAACAGAATTATAATGTTAAAAGAAATTTGTGAAGTGGGAGAGGCTGAAAAGTCACAGTCAAACTGAGTTTTCTCTTCCCCCAAAATTTCACCCAAAGTCATAATCAAGTGAGGAAGTAAGTACTAATCAATCCTTCTACCCAGTATCTCTCGCTGGTCAAACTATAATCCACTTCTAAACAAAATAATGTTTTCAGTTAGGCATAACCGATCATGATTCTGAATTCCCATTTTCCATGCAAAACCAAAAATTAAAGCCAAAACTTTATGACATCTGTGTTCTTCTAGCCATCTTAGCCACCAATCAACAGAAAACACATAATTCAACACCCAGAAAAATTCAGCATTAGAAACCATAGCAACTAAAGAACAATGAACAAAAATGGCTTTGAATATTATTATCACACAATAGATCCACGCCGTTGGGGTACATTACCTTGTCTGCCACAACAAATTGTCCGAACAGAAAGAGAAAGAAAGGAGAAAACGAGGTGAAACAAAACGGCGAAGAGTAGTTTTTCAACACAATTGAGATTATTATCACACTGCCACTGTTAGTTCAACCGACCACAGGGAGAAAACCCAAAAGCCAGAAAGTCAGCAATAAGCAAAAGTTACAAACTTTATGGCATTTCTTTTCAAAGGGGTGCGTTAAGGATTTATAATTTGTAGCGGCACGTCTTAGTCAGGTGAGGTAAGATTTGTGCCTACTCATCATATACACCATGTCGACCATTCACTGTATACAATAAATCCTGCATGTAAAATAATGAAAAACAATTGAAAACAAAAACTTTATCTACAAGAAAATTGGATTGATAAAACAGTAAAGCAAATTTGGATAATTTCATGAAAATATGGTGATAAAACAGTGAATCTCTTGCAATCAGTTTTGTGATTTTACGTTTTATAGTATGATCTTCTGATGGTAACAAATATTAAGAAATTAAAATAAAACAATTAGGATTTTCAATTGATAATTGAATTGTGTTTGGTTGGCCGCACATGGCACGAGGTGGTGGGGTCGGAGAGAGAGTGTAATAGGAAGAAAGGAGATACTGTCTTTGACGTTTCCTTTCTTTTCCTAACGGCTACTATCTTTTTTTTTTTTTGTAATTGTTAATTCACTGTAACAGTTTTAAAAGCCATGGCCAGCCAAACAGAGATTTTTTAAAAGAAAAAACTGAGAGTTTGATACTCTACAGTTAGATAATTAAAAGTTAGCTTATTTAGTCTTAAATAGTGGGTTTGAATTCAAATCTCGTTATTAATTGTTTTAAATATTTATAAAGAAAGTCTTGTGATTCATATTAACTTTATTTAACTCTGATGATTGTCTTCCATAAAATATACATATAGTTCATCGTAAAAAAAAAAGTTTATCTTTTTAAGAAAAGGGTATGATTCCTTAAATGTTGATGGTGCTGTTTTTCAGTTAATTTTATGAAAGAATAATGGTTGGATGACAAATTTTTACTTTCGTTTGACACAATATAAAAATAAAATAATTATAAAAAATGAATTTATATATTCTTTTAAAAAGAAAAAAGTAAAAAAAAATAATGTTAAATAAATATAAAAATTTTATGTATAATTTTTCTTCATGAAAGGAAAGTAAATAAAAAAACAGACACGTAAAGTTGCATATTAAAAGTTATACTGAACATTATTTTTTATTTAGTTGAAGATGTGTGTAAACTCATATAATAATATACATAAAATTTTATATTGATCACTCTGTGTACGTGTATTACTATTAATGCAAGTTATATACGTAACTTCGACTATGTTATTTTAATTTAAATTGTGACGTCTTTTTTATATTTTTTCAACTGTTGTATTATTGAGACTTATTAACTCAGTGAAGAATTTTGATTTTACAGTGACATATCCCTCGATTTTCGTTGGTACAAGCTTTAACGTTTGCAATAAACACGGGCCCACATGATGAATGTTGAAAGCAGTTATTGAGATAAGTTTTAAGTTTTCAATAAATGTTTATGTTTCCATTGACAAGTGTCTATTAAACAGTGCAGGGTGCGTGACCATAAAGATTTTATTTTAAATTGAATCATCTAGTTCGACATACAACACTATGATGTTAAAATGAGTTTTAATTGTATTTCCTATTTTAAATCTTATCTTTTTAATCATTTATGGACACACAATAATGAAAACGTGTTTTCTAGAAAAAAATATCATAGCAAATTGATAAGTCTGAGATTTTAAATAGATGATTAACTGTAAAAGATTAATATAACCGCAACATGAAAAAAGAAAAAACGACTTGTCGTAAAAATTTGTCTAGTATAAAATATTTATTTATTTTTACGTCATATTTAAGTCAAACAATAAAATTTTCAATTACGTCTAGAGATAAATAATTAATTAAAAACTTATGAATACATAAGAACAAGTTTTAATAATAACGTCATAAAAATAATTTAATATGTGTAAGCATGTTTTCAACTTAAATATATTTCTTAGTTATGAAAAATTAATTTATCGGAATTGAATAAACTCCTGTTCAAATATTGATATTTAACAACCACATATAATATTTTGCACCAAATTAATTAATAATAAATATTGTATGGCAAACATCAGAAAACCATAATCGAATAAATAATAATATCTTTATAAATAACAAAATGTAACTTAATTTTTTTAGATATATTGTAATAATTATAATCAATTAAGGTTTAAGTCTATGCCGATAAAATAAATTAAATCCATTTGTGAATTTTTAATTGAATTCTTATTGATATTTTTTATTTATTAAATACTTGAATTTTAAATTTTTTTTAATTAAGTTCTTGTTGTATAATTTTTTATTAGTTAGATGATGCGACTATTATTTTATGTCTCCTAATCTTACTTTATTATTTGTATGTGTTAATCAATATAAGACACTAAACATATCAGTTAAGAAACTAATCAATCATTTTTTTTTTCATTTATGGTAAGAAAACGACAGTTTTTTAGCTTTTGGTCTATCCATTATGTATGGTGTTTGATTTAGAGAAATGTTAGTTTTTATAGAAATTATTGGTTTCTGTGTGATCTCTTTGATGTGAGATTTGATGTAGTTAGGAGACAGGCTTTTACGTAGTTGGGACTTGGGAGGCCCAATTCAGTGACATAAACTGGGGGCAAGCCTTGGGAAGTTCTGGGCCACCATGGCCCAAATTGTTGAAGAAATGATTGAATGCAGAAAGGGAAATGAGAAAAGAGAGAGACAACAGAGAGACAAGAAAACTGAATGGACAAATTAAGGATTGCTTGTAACCCTTTAGGAGGGTAGGCTTGGACCTTCTTTCTCCTCAATTGTCCTTTGTTTTATAGCCAAAAAGAGAGCTACCATGATTGAGAATCACAAGAGCCACAGAAACTCACATCCATGCAATTTCAGTAATGTGATGAAATCATTCATTAGTGTTAATCCTTTTGACTCATTATCATTAATACGTATTTCTTTGATAAATCTAAAAGAGAATTAGATGAAACAATTACGAGAGAATCAAAATTTGCAACCAGCAAGACTGATATGGTAAAGAGACTCAGCCTATGGAATTAGGAATTTCTCTTGAGAAAATAGTGTTGGAGAGATCCAAGTTCTTCATCAGAGTGCTCAAGTTAGATTTTGGAAGTTCAACTCTTAGCCATCCATTAGATGAAAGATATATTTTCTTAAGATTTGCTAAATACAGTATGCCATTTGGAAATTTTCCTTACCAGTTGGTGCCTGAGAGTTTTTTGGATTTATTGAAATACTATTCACGCATAATGAACGAAAGTTGAAATAAAAAACATTAGAAAACTGCAAAAACACAAAAATTGAAAAAAAAAATACTTTTGAACTTTCCTTAATGTTATAGGAAGATCACGTAATAAGTTATAATTGATTACTTTTATTTTATTTTGTACTATATGACTATCTAGGATTGAATGGTCAATTATTACTAAGACGTGTAAATGAGTCATATCAAGATAGATCAGATTGATGGTAAAAATGATTAATTCTAAAAGTTTATCAATTTAAAGGTAAAATATGATTACTCATAATTTGATCATAAGTAGACGGTTGCTACTCACAAGTCCATATCGAAATTTATAAATATTAGTTTCAAGCAAGGAAATAAGTAATTACATTTATTAAACTATTAATATTTGTTGGATCAAATTGACTTTGATATAAGAGTGCTTTATAGATGTACTCTCTACACAATTTAGACGAATGACTACAATAAAACTTAAGGTGGAAGAATGTGTTTAAGAATCTTAAACAACTTTCTAGATGTTGATATTGACATCGACGTTACACTTCAAAATGAATTTATATAATTCATATTATTTTATATTATATTAGTTTTAAAAATTCTTTTAAATATATTAATAATTAATCACATTTATTTTATCAATTACCAATTAATTTACCGTGAAATATTCCATCAAAAGTTTCAATTACCAATGAATTTATAACATTTTTTTATAAATTCATAATCAACAAATTTAAAAACATTTGAATTATTGATAAATTTTAAAAAGAAATTACAGATGAATTTATTGTCAATTTTGAAAAAAAAAACATTATTAATAGATTATAAAAAGAAAATTTATACAACAAATTTATTAACAAAATTTTATTATTAAAGTTTAAAATAAAAATTTTAATGTCTATCTTATTTACAAAATTTAATAGCAAAAATATTCATAATAATAAACCTTATAAATTATCAATTAATTTTGTTAATAAACTTATTATCAGCATATATTTACATCGTAATACAAATATTAATGATGGAAATATTTATCCATAATTAAAAATTTTAAATTCATTGATAAAATTTTGTTAATAATTTTTTTTATTAATAAATTTGTTGTCATTAATAAAATTCTGTGATAATTAAATTTTTGATAATAAATACTTATGTTTGGTTTTTCACATCGTATCACTATGCATCCATTTAAAATTTTATATTTTAGGACTGTTTTTCAAAACTAGCTCGTGACTAGTTAATAAACTATATTTTATCTAGCTTCTTGCTGATAAGTTTATATTTTATCTAACTTATAGTTGGTAATAAGTTCAGAACTGACAAGTTAGTTTATTTCAATAGAAAATGTTGATAAATAAGCTAATAAATTATTAGCAGATGTTATAATTATATAAATGAAATTTAATTGTTTTAGAGAAAAAATTTCATTGTGTAACTATAAATTTAAAGCTTTTAAAATAATTAAACTTTTGATAATTTTTTTACTATTTTTATTTATTTTCTAAAAGTTGTATAATGTTTTACGTATAAATTAAATTATACCTTTATTTATTTTCAAATATTTAAATCTTCTTATTTCTCGATTTGAATTACTGTTACATTAAATTTGTTGTTTAGAAGTTTTACTATATGTAATTTTTTTATATAGCATAATAAATTATTCTAAGCAGACTTTTTACCATTCCTACTGTATTTAACGTGAATAGAAAAACATGATCGATGGATCTTATTTATTTATTTAATGTTAAAAAATAGTTTTTTTATATTTTGTATAATTGAAATATTATATTCAAACAAGTAAATTTAAATTCAATAACTTTGAATTATTTTATAAAATAATTTTTAAAATTAAATAATTTGAAATAAAAATAATTTAAATTTGATATATTTCTTTTAAATGGTAAAATTTATCAACCAAGATTAAAAGAATCAATGCACGGGAGTAAAACCATTCTCTCCACTCATCAAGGAAGAGAATATCGAATGAAAAATGAAAGTTTAATTAATGATTGCAAAAAG